AGACTGTTATGCTTGCGTAATCTTGCAAGGGTCTCAGCTACTCTCATGTATGTAAAAACTATGATACTCAGGAATGAAAAATGAAAAACTATGATACTCAGGTCAAATTTTGTTGGCCATGGCTGATCACATATTGTGACCCAGTATACCCACATATATATTTATATATAACTGAAACCATGTATGAAACAATACTTAGCCTTATGTGTGATGCATGCTAATATTTTCTGTTTTGTTCTATTTTTTTATATTGCTATAATTCACTAAATCAATCAACTATTGAATTGCATCCTGCAGTTCAAAAAACACGGTTTTAAAAGAGGCCTAGTAGATTAAACATGTTTTTAGAGTTATGTACCTCAGCTTGATGATTAGAGTCATCATGTCAGTTAGATCTTATGGAAATTGTTGATATTAAGGAAGCTATTTAAAACAGCCTTAGCATAATATAAAAGCATGTAGTATAGTAAACAATAATGAGCTATTACTTGAATATGATATGAGTGAATGCTTGTGGTTAATTACCTCTTATACCAGAAGATGAAATTATTCTAAAACATTGTTATTTAATTAAGGAAACTCTTTGCACAGGAAATGGCTTATTCCCAAAGTACAACATTTAAAAATATGTATTTGAGATATAATTGATATACCCCAAAATTTACCCCCTTTTTTTTCCTTTCAAGATTCTATTTAAATTTAAGTTAGTTCACATATAGTGTAGTATTAGTTTCAGGGGTTAAATTTAGGGATTTATCAGCTGTATATAACATCCAATGCTCATTACATCAAGCGTCTTCCCGGATGCCTTTTACCCAATTGCCGCATCCCCCCACACACCTCCCCTCCAGCAACCTTCATTTTGTTGCCTGTAGTTAAGAGTCTCATAATGGTTTGCTTTCCTCTCTGTCTTTATCTTTTTTATATTTTTCTTTCCTTTCCCCTATGTCCATCTGTTTCATTTTTTTAAAAGATTTTATTTATTTATTCATGAGAGACACACAGAGAGAGGTGAGACATAGGCAGAGGGAGAAGCAGGCTCCCTGAGGGGAGCCTGATGTGGGACTTGATCCCAGGATCCTGGGATCATGCCCTGAGCGGAAGGCAGATGCTCAACCAATGAGCCACCCAGGCACACCATCTGTTTCATTTCTTAAATTTCACTTATAAGTGAAGATTTAAAATCATACTATTTTTGTATCCGTTGGATAAATACCTAGAAGTATAATTGCTGTGTCATAGGGTAGTTCTATTTTTAACTTTTTTTAGAAACTTCCATACTGTTTTCCAGAGTGGCTGCACCCATTTACATTCCTACCAATAGTCCAAGAGGATTCCCCTTTTTCTGCATTCTTGCCAATGTCTGTTGTTTCCTGAGTTGTTAATTTTAGCCATTCTGACTGGTGTGAGGTGGTATCTCATTGTGGTTTTTAATTTGTATTTCCCTAATAATGAGTGATGTTAACCATTTCTTCATATGTTTGTTAGCCATTTGTATCTCTTCTTTGGAGAAATGTCTGTTCATGTCTTCTGCCCATTTCTTAACTGGATTGTTTGTTTTTTTGGGTGTTAAGCTTGATAAGTTCTTTATAGATTTTGGTTACTAGCCCTTTATCCAATCTGTTATTTGCAAATATCTTCTCCTATTCCATAGGTTGCCTTTTAGTTTGGTTGACTGTTTCCTTTGGTGTGCGGAAGCTTTTTATCTTGATGTAGTCCCAATAATTCATTTTTGCTTTTGTTTTTCTTGCCTCCAGAGATGTGCCTAGCAAGAAGTTTCTGCTGCCGAGGTCAAAGAGGTTGTTGCCTGTGTTCTCCTCTAGGATTTTGATGGATTACTGTCTCACATTTAGGTCTTTTATCCATTTTTTAAATTTTTATTTATTTATGATAGTCAGTTACACACAGAGAGAGAGAGGCAGAGACACAGGCAGAGGGAGAAGCAGGCTCCATGCACCGGGAGCCCGACGTGGGATTCGATCCCAGGTCTCCAGGATCGCGCCCTGGGCCAAAGGCAGGCGCTAAACCACTGCGCTACCCAGGGATCCCTCTTTTATCCATTTTGAATTGATTTTTGTGTGTGGTGTAAGAAAGTGGTCCAGTTTCATATCTCCCACATAATTTATCCTTTTAAAGTGAAACTCATTGCTTTTTGGTATATTCACAAAGTTGTACAACCATCCTCACTATATACTTAAAGAACATTTTCACATCCCCCCAAAACCCCTTTACCCATTAACATTCATTCTCCATTCCTCCCTCCTCCAGCCCCTACGAATCACTAATCTACTTTCTGTCTCTATAGATTTGTTTATTCTTCCTATAAATGGAAGCAAACAATATGTGGCCTTATGTGCCTGACTTTGTCACTTAGCATAATTTTTCAAAGTTCATTCATGTGGGAGCATATATAAGTATTTTATTCCTTTTTGTGTCTGAATAATCCAGTTTTTGGATCTGTCACATTTTGTTTATCCATTAATCAATCGATGGACATTTGGGTTGTTTATACCTTTGACTATTATGAATAATGCTGCTATGAATATTTTTACACAAGTTTTTGTGCATATGTGTTTTTAATTCTGTTGGGTATATGCCTTGGAATTGAATTGCTAGGTCAACTGGTAACTCTTGTGCCTTTTTGAGGAACTGCCAAATTATTTTCCAGAGCACCTGTACCATTTTATATTCCCACTGGCAATGTATATGGATTCTAGTTTCTCCAAATCTTTATCAACATTTGTTATTACTCTTTCTTTTTCTAGCTATCCCAGTACTTGTGAAGTTGTATCTCATTGTAGTTTTGATTTGTACTTACCCCAGGACAAATGATGTTAAGTATCTTTTTGTGTACTTGCTTGCTATTTGTATATCTTCTTTGGAGAAATGCCTGTTCAAATCTTTTGCCCATTTTTTAAAAAAGATTTTACTTATTTATTTATTTGAGAGAGAGCAAGAAAGCACAAGTAGGGGGAGTGGTAGAGGGAGAAGGAGGAGCAGGCTCTCCACTGAGCAGGAGTCCAATGCCACTAGATCTCAGGACCCTGGGATCATGACCTGAGCTGAAGACAAACATTTAACTAACTGAGCCACCCAGGCACCCCCTTTTGCCCATTTTTAAATTGGGTTTTTGTCTTGTGTTATAAGAGTACTTTATATATATATTCTGGTTACTAGACCTTATCAGATACATTATTTGCAAATATTTTCTCCCATTCTGTTATTGTTTTTTTTTTCTGTATTAATGATGTTCTTTGAGGCACAAAAGTTTTGATTTGGATGAAGCCCAATTGATCTTGGCTTCCTAGGATCTTTTTGGTTGGTTACTTGTGCTTTAGGTATAATATCTAAGAAATTTTTGCCTAATCAAGGAGCACAAAGATTTATACATGTTTTCTTCGAAGAGTTTTTATAGCTTTAGCTTCTTTTTAATTCAATTTTTAGTCAATTTTTGTATATAGCGTAAGATTGGGGTCCAGTTTCAGTCTTGCGCATGTTTATCCAGTTGTCCTAACCCCCATTTTTTTTGTAAGGACTATTCTTCCTTATTTGATTGTCTTTGCACCCTTTTAAAAAATCAGTCAACCATAAACATACATTTCTAGACTCTCAGCTCTTCTCCGTTGATCTATAATTTTATCCTTATGCCAGTGCCATACTGTCTTGATGACTAGCTTTTCAGTAACTTTTTAAATAAGTAAGTGTGATTATTCCAACTTTATTCTTCTTTTTCAAGATGGTTTTGGTTTTTTGGAGTCTCTTTAATTTCCATATGAATTTTAGGATCAGTTTTTCAACTTTTTTCATAGGGATACCACACAGCTGGGGAAAGGGGGCAAGTTAAAATGCTACAAAGTTTAGTATTTTTGCTAAGTTTCAGGAGTGTGTGTGTGTGTGTGTGTGTGTGTGTGTGTGTGTAGTGTGTTTAATAAATTCTCCAAGATTGCTACAAGTACTTGGTTACTTTCCTGAGCTCTGAAAAAGTTTCTTCTGACCACTTTTCCCAATTTTTCCATTGCTTTTATGGAGGAAAAAAATTTCTAAAGTCCTTATTCTGTCATTTTTCCTGACATCACTCCCTGAGTAAGGTACTTTTGAAAAGCACCTTCCAGGGAATTGAAGCTGACTCTACTCTTAGGTAAAGGTGTAGGGAAGTTGGCTTTATAAAGATCTGTAAATCAATAAAGGAAAGATGGTCCCATGGAAATCCAAGAACAGGAATCCCAGTATAACTGGGCCCACAGTATTAAAACTAGAATTCAAGGAAGCTTTAAAAACCTGAGCAGAACATCTTAGTTCTTCACTATAGTGGTCTGTCATACAGAAAAGTAGTTAAAGGCATAGACTTTGAACTCAGCCTTTCTGGATTCAAATTCCAGATAACTATATAACCTTGTTTTGCACATCTATATAACAGGGTTAATAATAGTACCTACTTCATAGGGATTTTGTGAGGTTGATGTGAATCAGTTAATAAATAGAATTTAGAACAGCCCCTGACATAAATTATGTTCTTTAAAAATGTTACTGTTATTTTTATATAATCAACTAGTTCAGTCTCTACTTCACTTTTCTTCTCATTACTGACTGCCGTCTTCACTCTCTACATCTTTTTAATATCACAGACCTTGGTATATCTTAGTTTCAATCTTATTATAATTTTAGGTACATATCTTTGGTTTACTCACAGATCCTTATTTCTTTATTCTCCCTGCCCAACTTCATGGCTTCTCTCTACTTTCTTAGCTTTAATTCATATTTCCAGAGGCAGTATCAGAATGGTACATCTCATCCCTCTTTGGTCAGAGTTTTTTACATTAGGCCACCTCATGGACTCCTTCCAGCCTTTGGATTATCTGCCCTTGAGTTGGTTTCCTCTATCTGTAATGAGATAATATGGTAATACATATGACTGTTTAGGATGGTACTATAAGCATATCATGTTTTTGCTGTACATGATGATGACTGAAAAATTATGATTAACACTTCTTTTATTTCAGGAGAAGATATAATTCAGTTAATCAGAAGACAATGAATGCCAAGAGAGGACCAGTAAAAAAGATCACAAGATCAAACCATCTTCCAAAACTCAATCCGTAATTGTAGAACTGGGTGGATTTCTATATCTTCCCTTTTTTCATCTGTAATATTCAACTGGTGAAGTTAATGTTTAACACATTTTTCAGGGAATGAAATAGACAAGAAAGAACTATCAAACTTCTATTTAGCTCCTCTTCCAGAAGTTTGTTCCTTTGTATGTATGAAAGTAATTTTCTCAAGTGATCGATCCTAAAACATCTAATAGCATTGCTTATGATTTTAGAAATATCCTAGAAAGCCTGAAGATTGGCATTATTACACTTAACTTTTAATAATATATCCATAACATATGCTGATAGTAACATTGCTATTATATTTGGTTTCTAGTTGACTATCAGCTAAAAATATGAATTCATCAAAACATTTGGCTATTATAGGCTCTATCCTGTTTGGGTCTTTTAAACTTATGGTTTAAACAAAGCTACAAATCAGATGGATTTTATTTTTTTTAAGATTTTTTATTTTATTTACTCATAGAGACACAGAGAGAGAGGCAGAGACACAGGCAGAGGGAGAAGCAGGCTCCATGCAGGGAGCCTAATGTGGGACTCGATCCGGGTCTCCTGGATCACGCCCTGGGCTGCAGGCGGCGCTAAACTGCTGCGCCACCAGGGCTGCCCAAATCAGATGGATTTTAAATTTTGATTTGAACTATCATGGTGTTACAGAAATAGCCTTGAACCAATAATCAGCTTGGTTATAATTCCCACCCTGCCGTGAACTTAGGAGATCTTGGGCAGACTCCTTCATCTCATCTTTATTTCCCACATCTGTAAAATGATGGAGGCAAATGATACAACTTCTAAGCTTTGTACTTTGCTAGAAAACCAATATTTATTCAGCTACAAGGTCCTACTACTTAGCGCATAGTAATTTAAATCATTTTATGATGTTTCTTAATTCACAGTGATGGGGGATCCCTGGGTGGCTCAGCGGTTTAGCGCCTGCCTTTGGCCCAGGGCGCGATCCTGGAGTCCTGGGATCGAGTCCCACGTTGGGTTCCCAGCATGGAGCCTGCTTCTCCCTCCTCCTGTGTCTCTGCCTGCCTCTCTCTCTCTCTCTCTCTCTCTGTCTCTATCATAAGTAAATAAATAAATCTTTAAAAAAAAATTCACAGTGACGGTCTAATTCTTTAGACCAAACACTGCAAGCATTCACAATACTCAAGTCTCAAAGAGGAGATGTAGTAAGGAAAGGAGAAGTGTTTGTTTAAGGCATTTATACAACTTCTTGAATTTTTCTATATATGTTTTGTTTTTTGTTTTTTGTAATTGTTACCTAGGTTTGGAACATACCTATGATGTATTTACCCAACTTAATAAGTAAAATAATTGGACTTTATACTTCCAGAAATAACTCACAACTAACTTAGTTTCCAGCTTATAGTATTCTCACCTTATATTTGGAACTAAAACCTAGCTTCTAATTAGTATCAATGGTAATGAATACTAAATGCATTCCTATAATAACTTTTATAGATATTCACTTTCTTTAAGGAAAAATTCATAAATTTCATAGAAATAAAGAATTCTTTTGTGACTTTATAAAGTTAATATAGAAGAACATAAAGTGACTTTCTATAAATTATTCCAAATAGGAACTGTTTGGGGATATCCCTCCTGTTCTTAAGCTAACTACAGAGATTAGATACCATGACCCATATTATTAAACAAATATTAGATTTTTAAATATTATACAATCTTTCTTAGCATTTGCAGCAGGTTTATGACTTAAATATTCATAATATTTATAATTACAGAGTCATCTCTGAAAAATATATTTCTATCATACAAAGCAAACCATTGTGGGGATTGGATTTGGAACATTTAAATTTATCTCCATCACTAGGACAGAATATTAGTTGAACATATTATTATGGAGACCCTGTCATGCTTAAGTATGGGTTCTGCAGGAGCTACTCTGGGATACTTTCTAATGACAGAAAAGGCCTATCTTAAACAGAGGGATGGAGTAACAATAAAGAACAGATATAGGGATCCCTGGGTGGCGCAGCTGTTTGGCGCCTGCCTTTGGCCCGGGGCGCGATCCTGGAGACCCGGGATCGAGTCCCTCGTCGGGATCCCGATGCATGGAGCCTGCTTCTCGCTCTGCCTGTGTCTCTGCCTCTCTCTCTCTCACTGTGTGCCTATCATAAATAAATAAAACAAAAAAAATTAAAAAAAAAAGAATAGATATAGGGGACTCTCTAAGATCTAAGTTCTTTTTTTTAAGATTTTATTTGTTTATTCATAGAGACACAGAGAGAGAGAGGGACAGAGAGAGAGAGAGAGAGAGAGAGAGAGAGAGGGAGAAGCAGGCTCCATGCAGCGAACCCGATGTGGGACTTGATCCTGGGTCTCCAGGATCACCGCCCTGGACCGAAGTCCGCACTAAACCACTGAGCCACCGGGGCTGCCCAGATCTAAGTTCTAATACCCGCTTTGCCACTTTGAAGATTCTGACTTTGAGTACGTCACTTTTCATTGCCTCACTTTCATCATTTATAGAATTGGGAATGAATTTCTGTGCAGATCAAGGATACTTACCACATATTTATTTCTTTACTTTTTTATATCCTATTTCTAAAAAGGATTATGTTAGCTTTTACTAAAGATAGAGGTATAAAAACAACCCTCATAAAAAAAAAAACAGATAAAAGTTAATGTTTTGTAAGAATTCCCAACTAAGAAAAGCTCTAGCTTTTAAGCTTTCTAGCATTCAGCACAAAGAAGGAATGAATTGTACAGCTCTCATTTTTTTGTAGAAGACACCAGTAGAGAAAAAGGTTTACCTAATTCTGAACTTTAAAGATAATGTATCATGTGAAGTTTTATAGGAAAATGCAATTATTTATTGAAATAACCAGTGCAAAAATGACAGCATGGGGTTTTAACTTTAATACTGAAATATGTATTGATATCAGTGTTTATTTGAAGAGCTTAGAGTCCATTAAGCAAAATATCCGTAAGTAATACTTAATATATTTCAAAATACTAATGTCCAAATATATTACAAAATATCAGTATCATTTATAAAAATATATGTTGCTATAGTAAAGGTAGATGATGGTGAGTTAAAATGAGGGTGAAGAGGAATTGGAACCCTCATACACTGCTGGTGGGAATGCAAAATGGCATAACCACTTTAAAACAGAGTTATATGACCCAGAAATTCCCCCCCTTGGTATATACCCTAGAGCAATGAAAACCTATGTCTACATAGAAGTGTGTATACAAATGTTTATAGCACCATTATTCATAATAGTTAAAAATTTTAAACAACCCAAATGTCCATCAACTGATGAATGAATAAACAAAGTGTGGTATATCCCAACAATGGGATATTACTCAACAATAAGAAAGAACAAAGTACTGACCTATGCTGCAACTTGGATAGACCTTGAAAATATTCTAAATGAAGGAAGCCAGTCACAAGAGATCATATATTGTATAATTCCAATTATATGAAAGGTCCAGAATAGGTAAATCCATACAGACAAAAAGTAGGTTAGTAGTATTTGCCAAAGGCTGGTGGGGCCAAGGGAAGGGTGGGTGATGGGAAATAACTGTTAATGTATACAAGGTTTTTTCTTGGGGTGTGATGAAAATGTTCTAAAATTAATTGTGGTGATAGTTGCACAACTCTGTGGGTATACTAAAACCCAGTGAGCACTTTAAATGCATTAAGTGCATGCTATATGATTTGTACCTCAATAAAGCTATTATAAAAACCAAATGCTAAACATACTAACATTTTAATTAATAAGTAGATAAATTTTAATGAAATATTATTTGATCACCTTCAGAAGATGTGATCTTAAAAATTAAGATGCATCATCATTTGGCGCTATTGTTGAGTGAAGAGCATAATTTCCAACTAAGAAACTTTCAGATACTACACTAGTCAGAAGAATAATGAGGATTAAGTGCTACTTCCCAATATTTCCTTGACTTTTTTTTTTTCACATGAAGTCATGTATTTGCCTTGACTTCTTTTGAATAATATCATCTCTTGCTTGATAACTTTGTGGAGATATTTATAAAATACCTTTTGATTTTTGACTAAGATTAGATTTTTTTTTAATTTGTAAAGTGCTACATAGTTTTGTTTCAAAGAAATTACTCCTAGTTTCATCATCTTCTGTTAGTTTTATAATGTGCAGCTAGACATTCAAAAGCAGAGTTATCTATTTCAATTTTAGTACCATGATATTTGTACTCTACTGGGCAAGAAATTATTTTTTTAAAGATTTTATTTATTCATTCATGAGAGAGAGAGAGAGAGAGAGAGAGAGAGAGAGAGAGAGAGAGAGAGAGGCAGAGACACGGGCAAAGGGAGAAGCAGGCTGCATGCAGGGAGCCCGACGCGGGATTCGATCCCGGGTCTCCAGGATCGCGCCCTGGGCCAAGGCAGGCGCCAAACCGCTGCGCCACCCAGGGATCCCCGATATTTTTTATTTTTTATTTTTTTTTTATTTTTTTTTTTTTAATTTATTTATGATAGTCACAGAGAGAGAGAGAGAGAGAGAGAGAGAGGCAGAGACACAGGCAGAGGGAGAAGCAGGCTCCATGCACCGGGAGCCTGATGTGGGATTCGATCCCGGGTCTCCAGGATCGCGCCCTGGGCCAAAGGCAGGCGCCAAACCGCTGCGCCACCCAGGGATCCCCTTTTTTATTTTTTAAAATGTTTTATTTACTTATTTGAGATAGAGAGCACGAGCAGGGGGCAGGGCAGAGGGAGAGGGAGAGAGAGAGAAGCAGGCTCTCCTCAGAGTAGTGAGCCTGATGTAGGGCTCGATCCCAGGACTCTGAGATCAAGATCTGAGCTGAAGGTAGATGCTTAACTGAGCCACTAGGCACCCCTCAGTTGATGTTTTTAAATTGGTTCTAACTCAGTGTATTTTTCAGTTAGCTGAACATAACTAGAATTTTATTTTTTTTTATTTTTTACTAAACAGAATCTCTTGCTTTTCCATCAATGACTTTCTAGGTTATTGTTCT